AATTTTTTTTTTGTTTTGAGTTGGAGTCTCACTCTGTCGCCCACACTGGAGTGCAGTGACCACTCCTGGCCACCGCAGCCTTGACCTGCTGGGCTCCGGCAATCCTTCTGCCTCAGCCTTCCAAGCAACTGGAACTACAGGCACGTGCTACCATGTCCGGCTAATTTTTTTTATTTTACTTAGAGATGAGGTCTTGCCAAATTGCCCAGGTGGGTCTCGAGCCTGTGGGCTCAGACAATCCACTCACCTCAGCCTCCCAAAGCACGGGATTACAGACTGAGCCACCGAGCCCGGCTGTATATTAAAAACTTTTAACATCCAATTTTTAAAATGAAAGATTTAAATCAACATTTCTCCAAAGGAGATGTAGAATGGCCAGTAAGCCCATGAGAAGATGCTCAGCTTCATTACTCATTGTGGGAATACAAATCAAAACCACATTGAGAATACCACTTTACACCCACTGAACAAGCTGTAATCAAAAAGGTGAACAATGACGAGTGTTGGCAAGAATGTGGAGATACCAGAACCCTCATGTTGCTGTGAGAGTGTAAAATGGTGTGGCCACTTTGGAAAATAATTAGACAGCTTCTTGAAAAGCTAAACATAAACTAACCATACAGTCCAGCACTTCCATCCCTAGGAATCTACCTAAGAGAAATGAAAGCGTGTGTCCCCTGAAAGACTTGTTCATGAGTGTTCATAGTAGCATTATTCATGATAGCCAAGAAGTGGAAACAGCCCAAATGTCTTACCAACCAGTACATTCATACAATGGAATACTACTCTCAGCAAGAAAAAACAACTTGGATGAATCTCAGAAACATTATGCAGAGCGAAAGAAGGTAGACAAAATACTATATATGTATGGTTTCATTTTATGAATGTCCAGAAAAGGCAAATCTGTACCAACAAATAGCGGATCACTGGTTGGAGGCAAGGCAAGAAGGGAGGTGGGAGTAGTTAGGAGTAGGGATTGATGGCAAACAAGAAATTTGGGGGTTGATGGAAACGTTCTAAAATTGGAGGCCAGGTGTGGTGACTGAAGCCTGTTATCCCAACATTTTGGGAGGCCAAGGTGGGAGAATTGCTTGAGCCCAGGAGTTTGAGAGCAGCCTATGCAACATAGCAAGTCCTCATCTCTACAAAAACTTTAAAAAAAAAAAAAAAAAAAGAAATTAGCTGGGTGTGGTGGCACATGCCTGTAGACCCAAGCTACTTAGGAGGCTGAGACAGAAGGATCACCTGAGCCCAGAAGGTTGAGGTTGGCGATGAGCCATGATTGTGCCACTGTACTCTAGCCCAACTCAAAAAAAAAAAAATGAATTGTGATGATGGCTGCTCAACTATAAACATATTAAAAACCATTGACTGGGCAGCCCCTTCAGATCCCCTCCCACTGTGAGAGCTTTTCTGTCCTCTCAATAAATTCTGCTTCAGAAAACAAAAAAAACCATTGTCTGCCAGACAGGTTAGCTCAAGCCTATTCCAGCATCTTGGGAGACCAAGGTAGAAGGCTTGCTTGAGCCTAGGAATTTGAGACCAGCCCAGGCAACATAGCGAGACTTTGTCTCTACAAAATATCAAAAAATTAGCTGGGCTTGGTGGGTATGCACCTAGAGTCCCAGCTACTCAAGAGACTGGGGCAGACGGATCGCTTGAGCCCAAGAGGGCGAGGCTGTACTGACCCATCATCTGAACTCCAGTCTGGAGGACAGAGTAAGACCCCAACTTAAAAACTGACTTATATACTTAATTTTATCTATACATCAATTATAAGAAGCCATTTTCTCTGTTAGAATAATCATATAGTAGTTGTTAAAGGTCAGCTGACTCGGTATATTTAAGGAAAAAACTAATGCTTGTTAATCTAGAAAACCCACACAGGACACTTGTGTACAAGACAAGCCATGTTGAAAGAGATGTTTGAATGTCATTCTTTTGTCCTCATGGATTCTGGCATGTCCTTTGAACCACTGCTAAAAGTGACTCCAGTGAGGCTCTCAAATCTGGTTTAATGTTTCCTGCTTTTAAAGAAACCTTCATCATGGCCCTTGACATGCTCTTCATAGCCCCCTTTCTGCATCTGCTGGCTCTAGGGTGCACAAAGAGCAAGGGGTACCTTCTGAAGCAGGTTTTTTCTCTTTCATTACAGTGAGCTGCCCCCTGAGAGACTATTCAAGTCAAATTGTCACAAACAAATAAGATGCTTGCATTTGGGTGGTAGAGGGTTTGCTTACTTTTCTGTGCTTTCTTACCTAATAGGCTCTGGATTACTGCCACAGCAAGGGAATCATGCACAGGGATGTGAAACCTCACAATGTCATGATAGATCACCAACAGAAAAAGGTACCATCACAGCCAGGCAGCAACAAGCTTCATTAGAAGGCTTAGAACAGACCAAAAAGCTGACCAGTGCCAAGGTGGTTTCTGTAGACTCATGCTGGTATTTTGGGGCAGACTTTTGTTATTGTTACTTCTCCAGTCTCCAGTGTTGTTTTCTTCTACCTTGCATAGCGTAATTTACAAGGAAAGTGAACAGATGACCCTAACTGTAGTCACTTGTTTTATATTGGTCACCATTTTCTGGAAGACCTCAGAAAGAAGCTACAGCTTGTGGTTTCTGCTTCATTTCTTAATGACCTGTAGGCCAATCTGCCCTGACCTTAAAAGTACACTTGAGTCCCTCATATTTTTGATATCTAATTCTAGTTGTCCCTGATTGGTGAGTAAATGGATCAGCTAGTATTCGATTAATCATTAGGGCAGTGCTTCAATCCTGGAGTGGGGCATATGTTCCCAACACTGTCACTTATGTCTGGAGCTTATAATGAAAACTGAATGAAGGGGGAACGTGTTACCATGTGTAAGTGGTATGGAAGCAGAAAAAAAAATTGTTGAGTTCTTGATCTAGAGAGAGTAATGAACCAGGATAATTTAAATTTTACAAAAAGCATTCCAAGTGCTCTGTTCTAAAAATGCAGTTGCTGAAAGTATTTTTTAACCAATGCACCTGCTTACATATTCTGTGTGGCCAAATAATTGTCATGTAATATGATATGGCCTTGTTCTATGGCATAGGCATCTAGAAACACTCCTTTCACATGTTTTCATTTCTGTCCTGTTTGTAGCTACGACTGATAGATTGGGGTCTGGCAGAGTTCTATCATCCTGCTCAGGAGTACAATGTTCGTGTAGCCTCAAGGTACTTCAAGGGACCAGAGCTGCTTGTGGACTATCAGGTAAATGTGTTGGCAAAGCTGCTCTGAGTTGTTTTTAATGCTTAGGACTTTTTCTGATTTGTTGTTTACATAGTCAATTTGGATACAGTCAAAACCCAGCCATCATTCTACCCCAAAATGCTAATTTTAGGGTTTTTCCAGCTACTTTTGGGGGGCAGAGGAGTTTTTAATCCTAAAATATCTGCAAAGGTCAAATGAAGACTAGAAATTCAGATCTGAACAAGGGGTTCCTGACACCCTTGGTGGACTGGTTGTCCTTATTTCCTCAGATGTATGATTATAGCTTGGACATGTGGAGCTTGGGCTGTATGTTAGCAAGCATGATCTTTCGAAAGGAACCCTTCTTCCATGGACAGGACAACTATGACCAGGTGAGCAAACACTATCTGGTTCTTATTTATTTAGGAATGAATGCCAAGAAAATAACATTCTTAGATAGGAATACTGTCCTTAAACCACTAAGTATCACTCAGTGTCTGTATATTAGCTTTTCTTCAAGATAGGGAATTTCACAGAATTTTGGCTATGGTTACCAGGTCCCAGAAATAGAGACAGATAATACTATTTATGTTGAACTCCCAAAGTGAATCTATGAGGACATGAGGCACCTCTTTGTCTAATAAAACTACAGTTTAGTCATTAGATAGTGATGCCCCCTACTTGTCAGCTTCTAGAAGGTTATTGTCCTAAGTTGTGTTATCATTTTAAAGGCGCTTTGGAAATTTGCACGCATGTGAACGTCATGTCTTTGAGTCCGTTTGCCTGCCCTAAACCCAGAGGTATATCTGGGCTCTGGAGAGCTAGTGGTTTGGAAGTCTTCTGATTCCCTGGTACAGCAGCCTCACAGGCTCACAGTGAGTTCTGTGCTCAGTGATTTGGTCAGTTTGTTTTGTGTTTCAGCTTGTTCGCATTGCCAAGGTTCTGGGTACAGATGAGCTGTATGGGTACCTGAAGAAGTATCACATAGACCTAGATCCACACTTCAATGATATCCTGGGACAGTAAGTAAGAGAGAGAAAAAGAGGTCTTGTCTTATCCATTTCAGAAGTGGAAAGGTTAACTGAAATCACTTTCCTTAATATTCATGCATATTTCCTTTAACTTAATTTTGAGATATTTAGGCATTGTTTACATGTGTTTTCTAATCATTTTATTTTTCCAAGAGATGGCGCGCTTATGGAAAATGGAAAAACAAAAATCATGTACCAGGAAAATCTTTCTGATACAGCATATGCGTATTTTAATGGCAAATCTTGGGAAGCTGTGATCTTCCTTGAATAAGACTAAACGGTTTCTTCTTGTGTTCTGTAATGGATATTCTGTACGATAGTAAACTTCAAAGCACATTTAATTTTTAGATGTAGAGTATTAGTATTGGAAAGTAAATGTTTTGTTGAATTTTCAAACAGTATTTTATGGAACCTCCACATTTCTGAGGCTAGCCTTCTAAATATGTCTTCTGACCAGCAGAAGTTTCTCACTCAACCTCCATACTTCACCCGGAATTGATTTGAAGCCTAGAGCATAAGGAGTAATCTAGAAAGGTTCCGTAAATTCTAAATCATATGTGGGCATTTTAATGGAATGTGTTTCTCTAATCACAGAGCACTATTGTGTTTCATGATCTGTGCTGTGAGTATAGGAGGTAGGGCAGGTGTCAATAAGAACAAGATTTAACAAGCTTGTATCAGTGCAGTATTTTAAGATTTTGTTGAATTTAGCCCTAATTTGTAAGGATTCTTGTTGAATTTAGTCTCAGGATACTAATACTTCACTTTTCTTCTCAGACATTCACGGAAACGCTGGGAAAACTTTATCCATAGTGAGAACAGACACCTTGTCAGCCCCGAGGCCCTAGATCTTCTGGACAAACTTCTGCGATACGACCATCAACAGAGACTGACTGCCAAAGAGGCCATGGAGCACCCATACTTCTGTGAGTCTCCAGCGACTATTTTCAGGGGGTAAAATTTATTAATAGAGCAGATCTTTCACCCTTTGTTTTAGAGGCTGGTCAAGAGAATTCTAGATATTTGGGTTGGATCATCCATGGAATTTGTCCTCATTTGTTCTGGGTGATTTGACAACTTTGTAGATCAGCTTCTTCATCACCAAAGATGTTTGCATATTCATTAGCCATATCTCCCTTGAGTCCAGTCTGTAGTCTGTTCCCTATTGCCCAGAGTTAGTAAATCACAAGATACTAAAACTTGTTTTCAGAGATATACATTTATGTGGAAACCTAATTGAAGATGATTTCTTCCTTCTCAAAAACAAGTAGTTAGTTCAGAGTAGTAAGATAACCATAGTATATTTTTCTAAAAAAGGAGATGAATGGGTGGATGGAGAAAGAAATTTGAGCAAATGAAGATAGGCATAAAAAGACCTCACTGAAATCCTCACTAAACTGCTAACTTAACCCTCACTTAGAAGTGTGCAGGTACATTGAGTTTATGTGGTTGCTTGTTCTGCATGTAGTTCTTCCCACTGATAACATGTGTTTCAAATAAACTTCCTCCCATTATAAGTTATTTGAATCCAGTCAGGAAGAATGGGAAAACAGGGAGATTAAGAGACTTTCAGTTCACTTTCAAAATCAAGATGAAAGCTTTCAGCCCTTAAAGTTGTTGTCTATTCCTTGACCAATATGCTGTCTTTCCCTCTCCTTTTGTCCCTCTGGAGATTATTAACTAAATTCTTGCCTGAAAAATATATTGCTATGATCTTGAACTTATGGTTCATAAAGCATAAGGAGACAGCAAATGTAAAAGGCCTTATTACCTTCAGCTTTCTAGACCGCAGCCCAAGTGCAACTCAGATGTCTTCTCTCCAGTTTCTAGCACAGAAAGCTATTTCTACTCTTTGAGTTAGATCAGATTAAGAATGTTGATGTTTATGACATGTAATTCTTGATCTGTCTACTTTTCTGAATAGATGTCATACTTCAGTTAAAAAACTTTTTAAAGTACTGTTGCTTAAAAGTAATAGGTCTTGTACTGGCTTTTTATTCACCTTTTCCCCCAAAGTGTTTATTATTGCACATGCTTGAAAGGAATTACGGTTAGATATGATGTTAATATTCAATGAAAATAACATAAAATTAGTAGAAGTGTTGAACAGTGGGTGTTTCTGTGCCTCTCAGCAATTGAGTTTGTACTCTGAGGAAGTATGAGTTGCCTGCAAGAAGAATTCTCCAGACCATTTTTCAGGGTCTGGTTTTCATATGTCCTGAATTCTGTGATTTCTCTGTCTCCCTCTGCTGCTCTGCTGAGAGGCTTGCTTCTCTCTATCTCACAGTGGAAGGGGTAGTTTTGCCCTGGAACTTTTTCTGTCACTCACCAGCCCTGGTTGACTGACTTTCATCCTGCTTTCTTGCAGACCCTGTGGTGAAGGAGCAGTCCCAGCCTTGTGCAGACAATGCTGTGCTTTCCAGTGGTCTCACGGCAGCACGATGAAGACTGGAAAGCGACGGGTAATGCAGCATTGATGCTTGCCAATAAAACCAACCAACCAAACACAAATCTTGAAGGAAAACTACAGTGTGATAAAAAGAAATTCTAATCATTCCTTCTAAACGCAAAGAAGAGTAAAGACCTAAAAGTCTGTCAAAAAGAAAGAAACTCCCCAGTCCTAGTCTACAGGGAGCTGCCGTCGTGGTGGCACGGTGATGCACATAGTCCAGGACCTGAAGGGCTCTGCCTCTGGAATGCATGGGAGATGAGAGACTCGGAGTTGTTGTACAGTACCTTTATTTAACAGGGCACCACTGTTGAATTAACCCATTCAGTCAACAAGCTCTGAATATCTGACTTCCTATCTATTCCATTGTGGTCTGGGTTTCCTTCGGTGAGATTCAGGCTCAAGTTTTAGCGAAATGTCAGCAGTCTATACTGACACACCAGCCTCATTTATGAAAAGGAGATATTAAAACAGTGACAGTATTTTTTTTTAAGCTCTTTTACAAATTCATGTTTTATGTATTTTTTTATGACATGAGCTCTCCAGGAAATGTACCTCATCCATGCAGTTTTCCTCTAAGTGTACTCATTTGGAAACAAACTGCAAACGCTTTCACAAGTGTCCTCTTTGATGTCAGGAGGCACCACTTTAAACTTTGCAATGCCATAAGCAGGTCTATCGGTCTCATCAAAAGTTCCATGCTAAGTGCATAACTTGGAGCTCACTGTAACCTTTGTTGATTTGCCTAATCATAAAATCTTGTCGCTATTTTTTGATTAGTCTTTTTTTTTTTTTTTTTGGCAGCCTTGTAAGGAAAACCTCACCATTTCCCAGCACATCCCTGTGTGTGCACCTGTTTTAATGCACCTCTCTGAAACAAAGACCTTTTTGTTCACAACCATGACTAAAGCTGGAAAGTCAGTTGGGGAGGGAGGAAAACATTCTATTAAAATTTATTCAGGAAAGACTTAATGAAAAAATGTGTTGCCCCCGTCCCTGTTTTTATCCCCATGAGAAACAGTTTCCCACTATAATCAGGGTAATATGCATTTTTAAGTTCTGATGAGCGATCTGTTTATGTGATGGCATGCAGGTACTGGAGTTGTGTGGGCAGGACCATCTGATACTCAAGCAACTGAGAGGAGACGAATACATAAGGGCCGGGGATGATGGGGCAGGGGCACTCCCAGAATGAGTGTTGAAGCTTCGGACACACTGTGCTACCCTTCACGATAGCAAAGAAAGCTAGACTTCGTGGTTTTTTTTCTTTTTAAACAAAAACGGCAGATTTCATTTTGAGAACTTATCACCAACATGGTTGTAGGCAGTCTCCTCACCCCAGCTGCAGAGCCATGCCACAGCTCTCGGGACTTCACACACCTAGGCTAGAGCTAGAGGTGTCTCCCACCACATGACACTTTAGGATTTCTTGATTAACTATTTAATAATGCCATACATTTTTATAAGGTTAGATTGTTTGTTTGAAACATCTGTTTACATTCCATATTCCAATAAAATCTTATTGGTATTGGTAGCAGGTCCTATCTCTAAATGTAGATTCTATTTTTGTCGTTTGGTCTGTGGGAACTTAAAATGCAAATGAAGCTCTTCTCTCATTATAGAGTTGAGTTTATAGATTAAAAAATTCAAAATAAGATCCCAAAACCAAGAAATACATTCAGTTAAGATTCTCATACCAGTGCGCTGCCTGCCTGCATTCTGTATATTAATGTAAACATTTGTTCCACCTGAAAATCAAAAACAAGGTGTGAGCTCTCAGCTAAACCTATATTGATATGTCAGGCAGCAAAACTCAGCATTTTGGATTATCAAAAGCCTTCAAACATGCCCTTATAGACAGTCCTGAAGTAGTTATTATCAGGGAGATTTGCCTCTGCATGTCTTTCCTGCTCCCCTACCTCCCATCTCCTTTACCACCTACTCTTCCACCTCCCCCTTTTTTTTTTTAAGTTGCCATCTGGATCAGGCCAGAGGGAACCTACTAGAGGGTCTTGCAGTTATCCCATTTCTTTCCTTTGGGTCCCCAGAGGCAATAAAGCATCTGGTGGAGAAGATCAGGTGATTAACCTCTCTCTCCCTTGACCATGATTTAGAAGGTGCAGGCACAGCTGACTTGCCTGTCCCTGGGTTCTGCAACTACAGCTTCAACACAGGAGTTCTTCCTTTGTAAGCATACAGTTTACTTTTCCAGCACCTATACTTTTTACCTCTCTTCATGCCTTAGACTTAGAGCATAACTGGGTTTGAAATGTTTGCCCCTTCTGGGTGTGGTCTTGACACCTAGGCTATTATTTCCCAAACCGAAGTGATTCCAGTGCAGATCTCTTTTACGTGTCTCCAAAAACCATCTTGTGTCCAGATGGACCTAGCTCCCCTGAAATTTTAGAATATTTGCCTGGGTTAGGAGATGGTCTTGGAGAGTCCCAAAATGAGTGTGAGTGTGAGTGTGAGTGTGTGTGTGTGTGTGTGTGTGTGTGTGTGTGTGTGTGTGTGTGTAGGAGTCTAATATTTAGACTAAAGTGGTAAATTTACCCACCCAATATCCTTTTCAGTTAGCATTTTCTTAAACTCATCTCGGTAATTTTCATTTGTTTGCTTCATTACCTTATAACAGGTTAAAAGTGCCTATGATAAGGACTTAATTATTTCCTAAAGAAAAGCAAAAAATGTGGGGAACAGGGTAGTGTTACACTGTCATCTCAGGTACTGCCTGTGTTCAAGAACATAGACCTGGTGTGGTGAGAAGATGAGGTTCCTGTGCCAAATCCAGATTGATCTCTGTCTGTCAGCTACAAGTGAGCATAACCACAGGGTTTGCTTCTGCTGAGGATCCCGTGGTGAGAGCAGAAGTCATGACATGCTGAGCAATATTTGCACCTGTGGTTTGGTGGTAGTTCACTGTTCTCTGGATGCTGTTAGTTGGCCTTGCTCCTGTCCTTTCCCTGGAGAGGGAGGTCCCTGGGTGGGAGAAGCCATTGAGTGAATGACGCAGACCAAGCTTTTTTGGGCCTTCTCACCAATTAGAGGAGCGCCCATGCTGGTCAGTGAGGCACTTAGCAACCAGTCACTCACCTTGGCCCCCTGCCAGATGTTCTGTAACATGTCAGTACTCACAAGGTTTAAAGCAAATGTGTTCCCTTGCTCTCAGATGATAGAGTAGAGGAGACAGAACTCATAATCCTTGGGGACTTGGAGAGTGGCCAAGGGAGGGGTTATTAAAAGGAACCAGTAAGAAAAACCATCTAAAGGTAGATCTTGAGAAGGAAACATAACCTCTTGAGGGGATAAAATTAGAGGGTGCCAAGTGTATGTTCTGGAACGTGCCCTGGGGAGGGCACTGCCCCCCGGATTGGTTCCAGTGGATGGAAAGGTGGTGCTCTCAAGTCAGGTGCTGAGTCCTAGAGAGCGGGGTGCCATGGGTCTCACAGTCTGTGCCTACTCAGGGAAATGACTTAGGTTCTCCCAGGTGCTGCATTGACAAGGATGGAAGCAGAACTACTTTGGGACACAAGCAACAATTGGAAGAGTTTTTGTATGTGCATTGAAATCTAGGAGAGCCCAGTTTACAATTTCCTTTAATGCCAGTTCAGATTAAATGATTAATTTAGAAATCTGTGTTACTGTGTGAGAGCCCATAGGAAAAAGCAAACTTCTCTCCTACAAATAACTGATCAGAGTCAGTTATTTAAATGTAAACCCAAGAGCAAAGCAGGGTCCACATGAGCACACAAGAAGTCAAAGTTTGTCAGTGAGCTTAATAAATTAAGACTGAATAATGACCTGCCTTTAAGAACTAACCCTAGGGTGGGGATGGAGGAGGGGTAGTGGCGGGGAAGCATCTGGCCAAGAAAACCAGTAGTGACATGCTTTGAGCTATATGGATGTGTTACTGAAAACACCCCCAACTAGGTATTGAGGCTGGAGAAATGTGATGGGATTATACAGGTGATGCATATTTGTGTGTTATGACAACAATGTGCTACAAATGTGATACTTAACCCTGAACTGCATGTATTGGGGATTGTTTTTAAACAAAAAAGCAAAAAAACTTTGAATCAATAAATTAACAGTTTTTCACTCGCTGGCTCTTCTTGCTGTAAATGGTGACTAAGGTTGGGTTGGAATTCTTGACATCCATTTGGAAGTTTGGATAATCTTCAAGAACCTTGGAGCCTTCTGTTTGCAGAAAAGCAACACTGCCTGGGTTGTGATCCTTTACAAGTGACTACTTCAGACACAGTTTGCCACCTCTTTGTATCACTGGATGATTGATGTATGATTTATGAGCTGCTTCCCGTAGAGGGAAGAAAAAATGCCGTGTTAAATTCTGTTTTCATAAATAAAAATGTTGACAACAACCAACCTTTCCAAGCGGGGGACAAACCATTGCCGTGAGGACCTTAACTTGTATTTCCTGTCTCTTTGGGGAGGGGAAAGATAAACCTGAACTGCAAAGATGTGTGTCTACGCCTTGGTATGATGACTCCTTTAGCAGAATTGGGACTGAGTGGTATCCTGGCAGGCTTGTTCTGTTTCTCTCACTTCTGAGTTGCACCATGTAGATGCCTGCTCCTCAGACTTGACTCACCGCATGCCTTTAACCTTGTGGCCTAGTGTCTGCATTTGTGAGAATGCCTTCCTGCCCCCACTCCTTGCAACACCTGTAGGCATGAGCTGTTTGGCAGATGGTGGTGTCTAATTAGTGTACTTCTGTCTGATCCCTCTGGAGTTGGATGCCTGGAAATCAGTGGAGGTGTTTACAGGCAAATGCACTTTCCTAACTTTATGCACCACACAGCCCTTCTCAAATGCTAAATGGTGGAACCCTTCCTTTACACAAGGAAAGTTCTCATGAAATGGGGTTTTGTGTGGCAGCTTCCCAGGTGCAGAGTCCTTTCTCAGCACTGCAGTGGTGTTCTGGAAGACACTTTCTAGAATTCTGCTGCTGGCATTTCACCACCCACTCACTGCTGGACGTGGAAGGAGAAATGAGGTTTTTAGGCCATGCCAGACAGCTGTTTCCAGGGGAGAGTTAGAAATATTTGTGCTCGCTTACTGCTCTTTGTTTATTAGTGGACTCAGCCCTTTTTCTGAGTAAATACAGTCATCTTCAGATTTGTAGTCCCAAGATGACCTTAGTAAATCAGGTCAGAGTTGGACTGCTGAACTTAGAGTTTGACTTGCATAGAATGGTCATGAGGCTTCTACATCAGTGTCCTGGACCCAAGGGAAGGGGTCACAACACAACACACGATGTGCCTGCAGCACACCCTCCAGCAGAAGGCTGTGCTAAAGATGGCCTCTGTCACTGAGCAGAAGAGGAAAGCAGAAGGGTACTGTTGGAAACCTGAAATGAAGCGAGTTCTCCTGTGGTTTTCTCCTACATGGGATGGGAAAGCCAGTTGTGCATTCTAGCCCCACCCACTTCGAGAGAAGGAAGCCCCACTCAGGTGGAGGCCTGTCCCTCACTCCCACTGTTGATTAATGCCATCTTTCCCCTCCTCCCGTCTCTCCCCAGGTCTGTTGCGGTTCCTCCCACTTTTCCATAAGCAGAACAAGAACCAAATCAAACGTCTTAACGTGTGTAGAGAGATCACGTTCCGTGAGCAGACACAAAACGGTGGCAGGTTTGGTGAGCACGAACTAGACCAGCTGAAGGGCAGCCCGCCACCGTGTATCAAACCTCACTTCCGAATGTAAAAGGTTCACTTGCCTTGGGCTTCCTGTTGACTTCCTCCTGACCCAGAAAG